CTTGGCGTCCTGCGCCGGGCGGCGGAGGGGGACGGGCAGGGGGGAGGGGACCGGGAGGGGAACGCAGGGCCCCCCCCTTGGCAGTAGAAGGGGGAGGGGCAAGGCTGAGGGGGGAGGAGAAGGGGGAGGCACTTCCGGTCTGGGCCCCCCCTTAACCCCCCTCCCTCATCCAGAGCCCTCCCGCGCAGGTGCAGAGCGAGAGAGCGGGGAGAGGGACGCACAACACCACACACGATGCCTCGCAACCGCGTGCTGGGACGCGCTGACCGAGCCCCACTTCCAGTGCAGAGACACCATGGTGAGAGAGGCCCCAGAAGGGGACACACAGCCCACCGCCGCAGACTGACATAAAACGCACCCCAACACAGTCTGGAAGGCCCGGAATGGGAAAGTCAGGGCATTCAGACTGGGCACCAAGGCAGTGAGAGACACCCCTCTCCCCAAAGAAGCCCAGGCGGAGGGACATACACACACCACAGCTCACAGGAGAGCCCTCAAGAGAGGAGAGGGGGTGACCAGGAGGGGCTGCACATGGCAGGACCGGACAGCTCCAGCAGGGGTGCTCCTGCACAACACAGGAGAGGCCAGGCCACCACTGAAAGGGGCGGGCAGAGCAGCAGGGAGGCCGGAGGAGGAGCGCTTCAGACACACCACACACATAGGCAGCACATGCCAGCGGGCACAAGGAGTGGAGAAGGAGGGAAGGAAATGCACTTGACAGGTCAGAACTAGGGGGAGAAGGAAGAAGCTGAGGGTGAGAGGGACCACCCCCATCCAGCTAGTAGAGCAAATGACCCCCAGACCAAGGCCAAGGTGAGACCCACAGAGACATTGACAAAGACAAGAAACAGAGGCTGATGGGGAGACTCGGGTGGGGATGACTTCCATACTCACCCGGTGCCCACAGCCGGAGACGTGCCAGGCAAACACGCACAACGGTCAAGCGCCTCAGACATTCGGGGCGCAGGGTGGCACCCCAGCCCCACCCTTTCTCCCCACACTGTCATTTCTCTTTCTCTCCACCCGCAACCCATCCCCACTGGGCAGAACACAGACACAGGTTTGGACACATTTAATGGAAGGATGCTACGAACAAGGAGACCCTTCCCTGGATGGGGGGGGGGGAGGGAAGTAGCAGGGGAGGGTGTCATCTTTGACGCTCAATTATGACCATCCCACCACCACAGCCTTGCCTTTCTGGAAGCCCAAGCCCTACAGTCTTCCCCTCTTGTGCTCCCCTCCCCCAACACGCCAGGTCCTGAATTCCAGATCAATCAGACAGATGCAAATGCATGCACCCAATTTTATGTGCTAATGTGCACGCACAGTGACATGCATAGAGAGCAACAGACATGTGCAAAGACCCACCTGTCCATACGTGGTAAGCAGACACACGGCCACCTCTAGAAACACTTGCCCTCACGTTCAGACATACCGATTCAGGGAAACACAGATATGCAGAGCCAGCCACACAATGCACCACAATCGTGCAGCCATAAACAACAGCCACAGATGCACGCATCTCTAAAGAGCAGGACAGACCCTCTCGCCATTACGGGTATATGCACAGGGCTATACATCTAGGGGCCTCCAGCCACACATGCACACAGACACGTGTCATGCACACTTACAGAGACACACAGGCAAGAACACACTCGGGGAAATTGTACGAGGTGCTTGCCTGTGTAAGTCGTTCACTCATGGGAAACTTCAGCTCTAGTCGTGCACACGCACACATCCATACACCCCCAGGCACCCCTTTCTTCCCATTCCTGAGCCATCCCTTCCCTTCCCCTCCCCTCTCACCTCCCTGGGCCAATCCCATCCATCAAGCTTCCGAAGCAAGTCAGCCAGCAGCCACGGAGGGGAAAGATGTCAGTGTGCCCCTCTCCCTGCTCCCACCCCACCTGGCAGGGCTCTGCCCACTCCCAGTTTGAGGTATGGGATACATACACTTCCACTGCACATGACTGCACAGAGATGGGGCACATGAAGGAGATGAGGGCCTCTGGCCAGCCATACACATGAGCTCCCCGGACATCAACACCTCCCCCTCGAAGCATCCACCCCACTGGTTTTTGGCTACCCCAGAGCTGGGCAGTCTAGTGGCTGCCAAGGCAGGTTTGGGATTGAGCTGTGTGGTCTGAAACTAGCTCTGCCTTTGCTCACCCCTGGATCAAACTTGAAAGGAAGCAGACACTAGAAAGGGGGCTTGGAGGTGGTGGAACTATTTAAAAGGTGGAGTGCGAAGGGAGGTGGGGCATACTCGAGGGTGTAAGGACATTTACCTTGGGGCATCAAAGCTGTCGTAGGAGCCCACGGTATAGTGCCGGAAGAGTCTCTTTGCCTTGTCACTGCGGCTTTCTGCAGGAGGACAAGGGATGACCTTGGACCCTCACTCTGGAAACCACAAGCCCACCCCCAGTGCTCCTATCGGCCCAAGCCTTCCCACCTACCTCCCAGCACTCCACCCCCATCAGGAGGGGGAAAGAAAGGGACATGAGCACCCTAGGGTAAGTTGGCGATAGTCAGAGGTTCCCCATTACCTTGCTTTCCCTCCTGGGAGCGGTTCGCCACCTCTTCCAGGCAGTCAGAGGGGAACCAGCCGATGCGACCTTTGACCTGACCTTCCCAGAAGCCTCCTTCCCCGATGCTAAGCACTAGGTGGGGAGCAGGAACATAAAAACATTTCTACATTTCCAGGCTGCCCCCACCCCCAACACACTCGATGAACAGCCTTTCCACAATTCCTACAGCTGTCACAGGGCCTGGCCCAAGGGCATCCTTGGTAAATGTCCCAGGAGGGGGCAAAGGGATGGGGGGAGAAGCAAATCATGTCACTCTTGAATCTAGCTTTCTGGATCCAATGGAGGACATCAAGAGGCACTGGGGAAAAGGGCCATGTGACATGGTCCTCCCAGGTTAGGGAGACATCCACGACTGGCCCTCATCTCCCCTGGTAACCGGTTACAGCTCGTTCTTTAATTTCTCTACACCCTCCCAAGGCAAACCTCCCCACACACACACACCCATCCTTGCCCCTGCCATCTCCCGAAGCCTCCTTGCCACTTGATCTTCTGTCATTTGCTCCCAGACCCCTCCCTGCGCCTCTCTACTTCTCCTGGCTCTAGAAGGGAGAAGAGATTAGAATCACCTCTTTCTGTTTCTCCACCACCCATAACTGGAAGCCTCTCCCTGCTGGCCCACCTTACTGACAGCCTGCTACATGCTCAGTGTGTGTGGCTGTGCCGGGCACTGCCATTCAAATGTGGACAGCACAGGCAGCTAATGTTCATCCATCTCTCACTCTGGACCAGAACCCTTGGGGGGGTACTTTTATTATCCCCATTTTACTGATTGGGAAACTGAGGCTTGGAGATCCAAGGTCATTTGCTCCAAGTTATATGGCTTGTAATCGACAGAGCCTGGATTTGAACACAGCTCTGGTCATGTCCAGAGTGAATGCTTTTAGTCACTAATGTTTGAGACCTCTCTGTTCAAGCACTTTGCTCAACACAAAGCCTTCCATCTCTCCTGCATTTTCATGGCTCTGTCCCCACTTGGCCCTTCACATACCTCCCTCGCTCAATCCTCATGCCCACCCTGATAGGTAACAACTGATTTCCCATTTTATAGATGAAGACGCTAAAGCTACAGCAGAGAAGTCCCTTGCTCAGAGATAGCTCGAGTCATGCTAGGATTTGAGTTGGGGCCATTTGATGCTGTTCTCTGCACCTGTCTTGAGAGGATCTGGGAAATAAAATAGAGAAGATGCTCAAGGTCAAGGAAGAGGAGGAGATAGGGTGACAAGGGGTCTGGGCTCTTGGCTGCCTCTGCCATGCCTGGCTGGGTGGTCTTGGACACAGGCATTCGTTCACTGAACAAATATTTATTGAGTGCTCATCATGAGTCAGGCGTCAGGCTAGACACTGGGTAGAGCTGTTGGACAGAACAAATGTGGTTCCTGCTCTCACGGAGCTTCCACATTGGTGCCAGTTAGAGGCGTAACTCTACAAGTGACCTCATGGTTGGAAATCGAGGTCAGCATTCAAGGGAAAAAGACAGGGTGTCCGGAGAGAGGCCAGATGGGAGCATATAAATTAGATGGCAAAGGGGGACCAGGAAAGTGTCCCAGAAGCTGTGACCTATAGGCTGAGACCTGAAGGATCCTTGGAGTTGAGGAGGCAAAGAAAGGGAAGAAAGGTTGTCCAGGCAAAAGGAACAGCATATGCAAAGAGCTTGGTGTGGCAGAAAGGGGCTTGTGCCATTTGAGTACTGGAGAAAAGGACATGGTCGTAGGAACCCTGTGGGTGAAGGAAAGAGTGGCATCAGATGAGGTGGGTGGGTGGGGAGGGGAGGGCTCTGCAGGCCAGGCTAAGGCACTGAGTTTGGGTCCTGAGAGCAGAGGGATCCTGCTACCTGATCTGGCTCTGGTGAAACTCAGTGACATCATAGATGTGGGCGTGCTTTGAGGCAATTAAATGTCTCTAAATGGAAGGGAAAGATACAAAAAACAGGGCAGTGTGTCCTCCCCCTACATAGAAGTAATGGGCTCGAAGTTCAGAGAGACATATGGAAGATACCGCCCATTGGCCCTCTGCCTGCCCAGAAGGTCCCTCACCCTTGGCCTCAGTTTCCATTTCTTCTTTCTCATCCTCCAAATCACAGACCA